AGCTGGGTTCCAAACAGGTTTCTGCTCAAAACCACTTTCAAAGATGTGAAAATAAAGGAACATGTGCATAAAAGTAATTTCTGAGTTTTCAACTAATAACTGGCAATACTACTTTTTGGGTGAGTGAGAGAAGAGAACCATTAAATTAATATACAAATGAGCAGCAATCACTCACACTATTTTCCCATGAATGAGAGAATACATAATTTGGGTGGGGATCAAGCACTTGAAATAGTTATGACCAGAGACTACCATCAAATTAACTGCTTAGCTCAGTTCATAACATTTCACTTGGACCCATCAAGGATTGTCATCCAAAAGGCATAGCCTGAATGTAGAAGAGTAAGCCTTCTGATAAACCGAGATTGTGCTTACGCCCTAAGGTATGTTGCTTGTCTGTCGTCTGAGCATTTTTAAAACTACATTTGATAATAACACAATTTTGAATCCCTTTTACCTAGTGCTAATTTTATAGTATACTTTTTAGGTAGACAAACCATTAAGTAAATGTGTTAGAGATCCAACTGAAAAAACAAGGCCCCAGCTTATGAAAAAGCAACAGTACAGATAATACTGATTCCCATAGCTTTCTTAGCCAGGGACATAGCTAGGAATTGTGATCACATGATTCAGAAAGATCATGCTGAAGCATCTTATGGATTAATACAGATAAATTCTGTACAGTCCACTTTGTTCTGCATTAAAATTATCTAAAATTGATCATTTGAAATTGACTGTTATGCAGTATGATCAATTATTGAAATGCTCCATTTCTCAATCACCTTCATTATGTAGTTTACTGCAAACATAGTCCTCTAGAGCAATTCACAAAGTGTTCCACTAATTACAGTCTTCATTCAGCACACATTTATTAAGCACTTATTGTGTACTACACACTATTAGTACAGGAAAGAGCATGCTGAATCAAATTAGCTGCTGCCTTTAGAAGCAGAGGGCATGACTTACAGAAAAGCAAATATTACATAACACAACCAGTGCTATAAAAGTAATGTGTACAAATCACAACAGAAATATAGAAGGGGAAGGACTTAATTCTTCCTCGGGAAGTGAAGAAAGGCTTGTCAGACTATACTTTAACAGAGACTTACAGAATGAGTAGGGAGTTCCCAGGAGGCGCTAGTGGTAAAGAACCCGCCTGCCAATGCAGGAGACATAAGAGATGTGGGTTTGATCCTTGGGTTAGGAAGATCCCCTGGAGGAGAGCATGGCAATCCGCTCCAGTATTGTTGCCTAGAGAATCCCATGGACAGAGGAGCCTGGTGGGCTATAGTCCTTAGGGTCGCAAAGAGCCAGACACAACTGAAGTGACTTAGCACAGGAGTTTGGCAAATATACTAGAGATTGTTCATGAGGAAAGGGTAGTAGGACAGACCTATAGCATATGTAAAGTTGCATAAGTAGAAAAGAGGACTTGTTTGTCAGGGCAACAACAGAGCTCACTAAACAGTAAAAGTAAGCAATGACCAGAACAGGGCACTAATGATCTTCAACGATGTTGAAGCCATGTTAGTTTAGCCTTTATCTCAATAAAAGTGTGAAGCACTAAAAAGTTTCAAGCAGGGATGTGATAATGATTTTGGTTTTAAAGAAATCCTCTGGCCATACAACAAAAGGAAGGAATAAACTTGGAGGCAATCAAGTCTAGTAGATTTATTAAAAGATCATTAAACTCCCTACTGCCTTTAGATCAAGGCAATAGGATTTGGCCCTCATGTGGCCACACACATCTTTCTCCATGTAATGAGCAGAGAAAAGGGCCAAAAGGAAGTGTCACCTTACTGGTTCTCACCCTAACAGACTACTTTCTACTGACCTGGAGTCCCAGAACTCCTAGCCCAAATGGCAGAGTCCATTTCCAGGACAGGTCCTCATGTAGGTATGTGCAACCCTAAACTAAGCGATAAGTTGCTTCTGTTGTGTCTGATTCTTTGTGACCCAATGGACTGCAGCCCACCAGGCTCCTCTGTCCATGGGAATCTCCAGGTAAGAATACTGGATAGGGTTGCTGTGTCCTCCTCCAGGAGATCTTCCCAACCCAGGGATCGAACCAGTGTCTGTTGTGTCTCTTACACTGGGCTCTGTGTCTCTTACACTGGGCTCTTCATCACTAGAGCCACCTGGGGAGCCCACCCTAAGTATGAAAGGTAGCCAAAGGAAGGTAGCCATCTTCTGCTACGGGAAGATGGGGGCTGTAGAGAAAGCTTAGGCTTTATCACAATTTTGGTAGATACATATGTATGCATATTGATATATATTTATGTATATATATCATATTTATAATATTAAACAGAAATAAACATTTAAGAAATATTTTATATGGTAAAGTATATATTATAATATATAAATTGTAAGTATATATAATGTATACAATATTTAACAATATTGTCTATATTATATGTAATATGGCAAATTTGCAATCTCATACCATATTTATGTATCAATGGATATTTGTGCCTAGAAATCTAAGTTTTTTTTTATGATATATACTCCTGACCTGAAATTTTAAGTTTTTTAATGTTTTAGAGAAGATATGAAGTAATTCTTTGACAAAAAAAATATATTCCCCCTTAAGATAGACATACTAAAGTCAGGATCAACTTACTAGAAAAATCAAAGCAATGTGAAGATAGATAAGTCAACCACATATTGGATAAGAAGCTAGTGGAAAAAAAAAGAAAAGTCACTTAGTGAAGGATCAATGTGTGGCTAAAGGCAGATACTTTTTATCCACAAATGAGCTACTGTGTTGCACAGCTCTTCTCCTTATTGAACAGAGATGCATTGCCCTCACATTAAATAAAGAACTCAGTGAGCAATACACTGTAGCAAGCATCTGTTGGCTAATGACAAAGAAAACCATAGACCTTTTGAGGCCAATTTCCATCCAGCTGTAAGCGTGGAAGAAACAAACACACATACTTCTTTTCAATACCAACCCCACTGGACAGCTACATGTAAAAGAATGAAATCAGAACATTTCCTAACACCATACACAAAAATAAATTTAAAATGGATTAAAGACCTAAATATAAGGCCAGGAACTATAAAGCTCTTAAGAGGAAAACATAGGCAGAACACTGTTTGACATAAATTGCAGCAAGATCCTCTTTGACCCACCTCCTAGAGTAATGGAAATAAAAACAAAAATAAACAAATGGGACCTAATTAAGCTTAAAAGCTTTTCCACAGCAAAGGAAACTATAAACAAGATGAAAAGACAACCGTTAGAGTGGAAGAAAATAATTGCAAATAAAGCAACTGACAAAGGATTAATCTCTAAAATATATAAGGAGCTCATGCAGCTCAATATCAGAAAAACAAATGACCCAATCAAACAATGAGCAAAAGACCTAAACAGACATTTCTCCAAAGACATACAGATGCCCAGTAGACACATGAAAAGATGCTTAACATCACTCATTATTAGAGAAACACAAATCAAAACTCACACCGGTCAGAATGGCCATCATCAAAAAAATCTACAAACAATACATGCTGAAAAGGATGTGGAGAAAAGGGAACCCTCTTTACTGCTGGTGGGAATGTACATTGAAACAGCCACTGTTGAGAACAGTATGGAGAGTCCTTAAAATAAATAGGAATAAAACTATCATATGACCCAGCAATTCCAGAGTATACTGGGCATATACCCTGAGAAAACCAGAACTGAAAAAGACACAGGTACCCCAATGTTCACTGCAGCACTATTTACAATAGCTAGGACATGGAAGCAACCTAGATGTCCATCAACAGATGAACAGATTAAATGGAATATTACTTTGCCATTAAATGGAATTAATTTGAGTCTGTTCTAATGAGGTGGATGAACCTAAAACCTGTTGCACAGAGTGAAATAAATCAGAAAGAGATAAACAAAATTTCGTATATTAACGCATGTATATGGAATCTAGAAAAAGGGTACTGATGAACCATTTTCAGGGCAGGAATAGAGATGCAGACATAGAAAATGGACTTGTGGACACAGCAGGGGGAGGGGAGGGTGGGATGAAATGAGAGTAGCACTGAAACATATATATTACCATATATAAAATAGAAAGCTAGCAGGAAGTTGCTATATAACACAGGGAGTTCAACCTGGTGCTCTGTGATAACCTAAAGAGGTAGGATGGGGTGAGAGGGAAGTTCAAGAGGGAGGGGATACATGTATACTTATAGCTAATTCATGCTGATGTTTGGAAGAAAGCAACACAATATTGCAAAGTAATTATCCTTCAATTAAAAACAAATGTGCATAATCCAAAAAATAAACAAATTTTTAAAAATCAGGCCCAAATAACTATGAAAAAGAAGCTTCTCAGCTTTCATGTCATTTTGCATCAAAGGCATTCCAAATATTAATTATACATACTAAACAAGGCACTTGGATAAAGTTAACTCTAAACAAGCAGATATCAAAATATACAACTGCATTTTATTCTCATTCTACCTTTCTCTGTATCCATATCCATGGTAGGAAGAACTGGCCTATAGAAAACACTAAATAAGACTGTAAACTAGGCAAAGTTTGTCTTCTGAAGCCATCACTTGCATTACTTTTTTTCTGTCTCCATTTCACTTTTTCTATTTTACTTTTTCTTCCTCTCTAACATTTTTCATATTTTCTAGGATCTTGCTGTAACCGTCTCTCTGAGGTGTGCTTTGGCCTCCCTTGCTCCAGTGTTGAAGTTATTTTACCCATATTTTCCTCAGTGTCAGATGACCTGACAAAGAACAACACCTACAAACATCCATAACTCCTTTCCTTTCGCCTCTCCTGTCCAAGACTAATTCTTTCATGTAACCCCAAGACCACACCCTTTCTTGCCTTCTCAGAAATCTTTTAAATTTTGTAGTATTTAATTCTCTCTCTTCAGTTTCTTAGTGTCTTTCCCTCATTACAAAAACACATTTTTTTTATTCCTAAAAAACTATAAAATCTTTAGCTTAAAAGGTAAATAAATCTACTATATGGAACTTACCCTATGATGTCCTCCCTTTAGTCTTTGCCCTCAAGCAAATTCACTCCTTGGTCCACAGCAAGATGTCTTCTGCTGACACCATTATATTAATCCCAAGATTCTTAACTTAGGGCTGTAGGGTCTGTGGATAGAATTCAGAAGGCTCAAGAACTTGGGTGGCAAAATAAATCACTTCTTTATTTTCTACAACCTCCAAAATTACTAATATATACTTATTTACATATTTACTAAATTACTATGAGCCTTCCACTGTAAAATCTCATGGATGGAGAAGCTGTCCATACTGTAGGCTACGGTCCATGGGGTCGCGAAGAGCTGGATATGACTGAGCAACTTCACTTCACTTCACTTCCACTTTATCTTGCGTAGTATGTTAAACAAGCACATATTACTCTACACAATTCATTTGATAATGGTTGCTATTGTTGTTTAGTTGCTAAATTATGTCCGACTCTTTTGTGACCCCATGGCCTGGAGCCTGCCAGGTCGTCTGTCCATGGGATTTCCCAGGCCAAGAATACTGGAGAGATTAGCCATCCGCTTCTCCAAGGATCTTCCCAATCCAGAGGTCAAACCCACACCTCCTGCGTTGGCAGATGGGTTCATTACCACTAAGCCACCAAGGAAGCTCTTGGTAATAATATGTTCATATAATTGCTTTCCTTTGTAATCCTACATATTTTATTTTATCCATCTGTGGCAACAGTATTTCCCGAATATACTACAAAAATATCTCCCATTTCACATGCTTTTCTATGATGTAAACATGCCACTTCCCTATAAAGAGGTAGAGCCTGGGACTTCCCTGGCTATGCAGTGATTAAGACTCCTCGCTTCCACTGCACAGGGCATAGATTCAATCCCTGGTTGGGGAACTAAGATTCCTCATGCTGTGTGGTGCAGTAAAAAAAAAAACAACAAAAAAATATTTTTAAAAAATAACATGAAGATGTAGAGCCTAATTCCCTTCTCCTTAAATCCAAGGTGGCACTTAACTTGCTTGCAACCAACAGAGTGTGGTGGAAATGACATTGAGAGGCTTCTAAGGCTAGGGAAGGAAAAGTGATGCAGGTTCTGGGTTACGTTTCGGGTGGTTGGTTAAACAGTGATAGTTACCAGAACAGAATTCAGTACCTGCAACTAGGTACAAAAACATAAAACATGTGATACTGGCTTTGAGATTTGGTGGTAGACACAACCTGGCAGGGCCCTAAGGACCTCATTGGCTAAAGCTTGATGAGCCTTGAGGGAGCTGTTGGAGAAGCCTTAAAGGAGAGTGAATAAAGTGCTCTCAGAAGCCAGAGGAAAGAAGAGAGATCCTTGTTACAAAGTGGCAGAAAATTTAGCAAAACTGTTGCCTGTGCTAAGTTAAAAAGCAGAAAATGTTGGTAATGAACTGTTCTTCTAGCTAAGGTAATTTCCAAGCAGAAAGTTCAAAGTGTCAACTGGTTTCTTTTATATGTACACACAGTAGAAGGCACAGTTAGAAAGATGAGCTAAAGAAAGTATTCTGTTTTCAGGCAGAATTTAAGGAAATATAAAGGACCCAGCAAATTGCTGGATTCAAAAGTAAAATTATTTTCATCTACAGTCTCGCCCAGCAGAGAATGTTCAAAGTAGGAAAGGTCTAAAGACAAAGATCAGAGGTTGCTGGGAGGAAAATCTGGTCTCCAGGAAGAGAGAAAGCCAAGGATGTTACTGAAAAATCCTTTAACACCTGGTTTCTCCTTGATCTCCTTCCCAGTGCCTTTTTCTGTACTTGTCCACTAAAACTAGATATGCCCAAAGGTTTTGTCCTCAATGTTTTCAACTATTTCTGAAAATTTACTAACCCCCAAATCTCTCTCGCAAGCCCCTACCTCTCTCCAAGAACTCAACGGATGTGTACATCTCTACCTGAATATCTCAGAGAAACCTCAAACTAAACTATTTCAACATCTTATCCATCACTACCCAACAAGTTCTTCCTATACCTGGACATGCACTGGGAATAAAGAGTACTACCACCTAGTAAACTGCCCAACATAGGAGTCACCCCTGGTTTCTTCCTCTCCTTCACCCTGCCTCCATTCTCCCTCAGGCAACAGCTGATAATATCCATTTTCAAGTTCTACAGATTCTACCTGCTAAACTTCTCTAAAGTCTACCCCTTTTCAGTTACATCCTGTCTGGACTACCTTTCAAACAGTATCTCCATGTCAATATATCTTCCATACTATACTCAAAATCATCTCCTTAAAATAAAAATATTAGTCAGGTTAATCTTCTGCTTAAGATCCTTTAAAGATCCCTATCAAAACCTTTTGACATAACTTACAAGTAAGTGTCTTTTGGTCCTGTTCTCCCCTACAAAATGCCTCACATACCATTTATTTCAATGATGCAAAATAAGGATCCACCATGATTATGAGTACATACTTCTCCCCATATGATACAACTCCTGTTATGAATTCTAAGTACTTTGCTATGTGTTAATTGAATTCAGTAATTATAGAGCACCTACTTCATGGCAAATCTGGCAGGACCTATGCCAGGGCTAGGCATACAAAAACAAGTAAGAAACAGGTCCTGCCTCTCCCCTGGAAGCACAGAAAAAGAAGGAAAATAAGTACAACACAGAAATTTATAATGGAAGATAGCATGATGTAGTAGACTAATCATTTGGAGTGGGCAGAGAGGTAGAGCAGGCAGTAAGAAAAACAACAGGATAAATATAGCATATTCTCCTGGAGCAACAAATCCCTTTGATGTAAGTAACTTAAAACATTTTAATATTAATATACTCATTATAAGCAGAATACAAATTACATGAGAGATACAATTAAATACTTTAAAATTCATGGTCCATTTTAGGTAAGAATGACTATCCAGAGTTAGAATTTAAAGCAATATTACTAAGCAGAAGGATAGCCACGTTAAGTCAGAGACCTTCTTAGAACTGAGCAACTCACACTACCTAAAGGACATTTTGGCTCTGCCGATACAAAAAGCCAACTTTGGCTGGGGAAAAATTCAGTGAAACACAACTGAATGGTCAAAAAGATTCTGTTACAATCAGCCTATACCTCTATATAGCCTCTTTAGAGGGCTTCAGATATGGCAAGGTTTGCAGACAACTGAGGAATCCTGATTGAAGGCAGGAGGAGAAGGGGACAACAGAAGATGAGATGGTCGGATGGCATCACGGACTCGATGGACATGAGCCTGAGCAAGCTCCAGGAGTTGGTGATTGACAGGGAGGCCTGGTGTGCTACAGTCCATGGGGTCATGAAGAGTCAGACATGACTGAGTGACTGAACTGAACTGAGGAATCCTGAACCTACTAACCTACTTGATCAGATTAAAGTTACCTGTAATTATGCAAAGAAAGCCTAAGAAGACCAAGAAAAGTTTATACTGGCTCCAGTTCCTGCTGAGATGCTGAGTCAGCAAAATCACTGCTGCTCTTTCAGGAGATCAGCCCTTAGGGAAGTCACACAGGAAACACGGAGAAGCCTATGAAGAGCACCTGGGGTGACAAGGACCCGTTCTGAATTGCTATGTGTGGAATGATGGTTCTGGCCAGAGGCAAGAGGCAGCCCACCAAAGCCATGGGATAACAAAACAGAAGAACTACTGAAGTTCAGTTTTTGCTTTTCTTGGGTCCCAACACTTATGTGCACACAACCTGGTTCCATCTGTGGGACAACCTCTGGTCTCTGGTCCTCAGAAAAATAGGAGCTGAGAAAAATAGGTGGATATACACTCATCTCCCCTGAATGTTTCTTCACATCACTCTCTCCTCCTACACAAACATCTCTCTCAAGAGAAAAAGGTAAAGAAATGACCCAAAGTTATACTATACGGTGTCAGGAGTGACTGACTCCAGCCCCAGAGTGCCTGGGGCTCTCTTACTCCTGCCCTGATATCATCAGGACATAAACCCAATGCTCTCCTACGTAAGCATTGTCTGACATTGTAAAATATCAAGTACCAAAGAGTACGTGTAAAACAAGATACTTTGGGCTGTTCAAGGTACCATTATAAAATACCACAGACATAATGACTTCAACAGAAATACTTTCTTACAGTTCTGGAGGCTGGAGGTCTGTATCTAGGGTGCCAGCAGGGTCAGGCTCTGGTAAGATTTCTCTTTATGGCTTGCAGATAGCAGCAAGCCTTATAAAAGTACTAACCTCACTGGAGCAAGGCCCCACCTACCTGACCTCATCTAACTTCACTATATTCCAAAGGCCCCATCTCCACATATCACATATTGGGGGTCAGGGCTTCAACATACAGATTTGGAGCAGGGGGAATAATATACAAATATTCAGTCCATAACATCCTTTTTTTTTAAAGGGGGAAATTTGATCCTAATATCATACCATACGAAAAATCAATGGCAAGAATTTGAACATCAAAAACAACTTTAAAAACCTTAGTGGAAAAGACGACTATCGTTTGATATCAATAAGGAAAGATTTCACTATATTAAGAACCGCTGTTCATTAAAAAATACCTTCAAGAAAGTAAAAATACAACTTATAAACTAGCATAAAGTATTCACAATACACACAACTTATAATGCACTATTATCAACAACACATAAAGCAGTAGCATACACATACAAACACATTCGGAACATTGCCCCCAAAAATGAGCAAGAGACAATAAGGCATTTCACAGCAGAACACAAACATATAACCAAGACATGGACAAAAAACTGTTCATCACAAAGGATTATAGATTTTCAAAGCAAGGCCCTGTGTCATGAAAAACAGTGAAAAGCTTTGAAATGGACCAAAAACAAACAAACAAACAAAAAACCTAGTGGGCGTTCTCTTGAAATCACACATTCATTACCTCCATCTTTCATTGCCTTTGAGAAATTTTTCAATTTGATAAAATGTAGAAAACTGATGATAATGTGAACTATTCTTGTGTACAACAGAGCAAATTAGTTGTGTCCAGTGGATTACAATTGATAATTGCCCAGGAGATAGACCAATTTTTGCACCTATTTGAAAATTTTATTTCAGCATTCCTTTACTACATATAAATGAGTAGTTCTGCAAATTTCCCTTTGAACTGATTTAAACATCTTACCAGTTCCCTCATTAGTGAGTTAAATAAAATACT